CTTCCGTTCATGGGGTGGATTATTTCTGAGCCTTGGATTTGCATCCATTGGTCTTTCTTTGCCTTTATGCCAGCCCCCAGTGTTTTAATTAATGTAACCCTGATACTTTTGAAATTGGGAAGTATAAGCCTTCCATCTTTGCTCCTCTTCTTTATGATTATTATTTTATATAGAACCACTGTTTTCTTATATGAATTAAATTTTTTAGGTTTATTTATTTTACATCTATGAGTGTTTTGCCCGCATATCTCTGTGTGTACCACGTGCTTGCCTGATAGAGGTCAAAAGAGGGTGTTGGATCCCCTAGAACTGGAGTTATAGGTGGTTATGAGCCACCACGTGGGTGGTGAACCTCGATGCTCTGAGAGAGCAACAAGTGTTTTTAACTGCTGAGATATCTCCAGCGCCCATGCTTCTTTAATATGAAGTTTAGGATTGGCCCCACACTCTCTCAGTAGGTACTAAACTGAAAATGTAGCTCATTTGGGGAAGTATTGCTCTCTGAGTTCTTGCTGACGTTTCACATGTACTGAAAATGGTGCACAGATGAGCACTGTCCCTGAACAAAAATGACTCACACCTTCCTGAAGCTTTGCTTAGTTCTGAAATGAAGGTTAAAGAATATTGTTTTGTGGGTGCAGGGTGTAGCTCACTGGGAGAGTATATATTTAGTGTATCTGAAGTATGAGTTCAGTTACAAATACTAAAAAGTTTTTTTGTTCTTTTGCTTTGTAAACATGAAAGTCTTCCCATTTATTTAGGTAATCTTTAATCAGTATTTTTGTAGTTTTGAGAGTATATGTTTGGAATTTTTTTTATATTTATTTATTTATTTTTATTTTTTTTCTTTATTAATTACACTTTACTCACTTTGTATCCCCCCCCATAGTTCCCTTCCTCCTCCCGTCCCAATCCCTCCCTTCCTCCACCCTCTGCATGCATGTCCCTCCCCAAGTCCACTGATAGGGGAGGACTGAGCAACAGAACTAAAAAATCTGAGCACAGGGGTCTTTCCTGAGACTGCTATTCCAACCAAGGACTATGCATGGAGATAACCTAAGACCCCTGCACAGATGTAGCCCATGGCAGTTCAGTATCCAAGTTGGTTACATTGTGATAGGAACAGGGACTGTCTCTGACATGAACTGATTGGCCTGCTCTTTTATTACCTCCCCCTGAGGGGGAAGCAGCATTACTAGGCCACAGAAGAAGACAATGAAGCCACTCCTGATGAGATCTAATTGACTAGGATCAGAAGGAAGGAATTTCTTAAATTTATCCTTTAAAATGTTAATTTTTCTTTTGAGTGCTATTGTAAATGAAAATTTTTTAATTTAAGTATTGTTCTTTGTTTTCATATAGGAATGTAAATATTTTGATGTTGATAACATTTATCCAGTAAGATTACTGAGTTAATTTATTAACTCAAACAGGGTTTTTTGCATATTCTTTTAAGATTTTCTATATGAAGATAATAGCACCTACATGTCTATATAGATATATGCATCGTTTTATTTTTTTCTTCTAATCTTAGGAACTTTGATTTTATTTCCTACCTTATTGCCTTGTTTAGATTCTCCAGTAAAATGATAAATAAGAAATGAAAAGGGACACTATTGTCATGTTCCTGATATTTGGGGGAAACAGCTTTTCATTATCAATTAAGTAGTCAGTTAATTTTACCATTGAATGATGATGTCAGCTGTATATCTTTTGTAGCTGCCATGCAGAGAGTTAAAGTGATTCTTTGTATTTTGAATTTCTTGTGCATTTTAAAATTTTGAAATTTATTTTTATTATTAATTACAGTTTAGTCACTTTGTATCCCAGCTGTAGCCACCTCCCCATCCCCTCCTAATCCCAGCCTCCTTCCCTCTTCTTCTATGCCCCTCCCCCAGTCCAATGATAGGGAGGTTCTCCTTCCCTTCCATCTGACCCTAGTCTATGAGGTCTCCTCAGGACTGGCTTCATTTTCTTCCTCTGTGGACTAGTGAGGCTGCTCCATGCTTAGGCGGAGGTGCTCAAAGAGCCAGCCCATGAGTTCATGTCCCTGTTCCTATTAGTGTGGAACCGTCTTGGACACTGAGCTGCTATGAGCTACTTCTGTGCAGAGGTTCTAGGTTATTTCCATGGATGGTCCTTGTTTGTAGAATCAGTCTCAGAAAAGACCCCTGTGCCCAGACTTTTTGGTTCTGTTCTTCTCCTGTGGAGCTCCTGTCCCCTCCAGGTCTGTCTATGTCCTCCTTCTTTCATAAGATTCCCTGCACTCTACCCAAAGGTGTTGTGCATTTCTATCACCAGGGATGTTACATTTTATGCAGTGTTTTTTGTCTGTTGAAATTTTTTTGTCCTTTATTCATATGATACATTACAATGACCAGCTTTCATATATTAAGCCATCCTTGCATTCTTGAATTTAGTCGTAGTTGGTCAGGATATGTTTAATCTTGAAGTGTATTACTGGATCTGCCTGCTGGTATCTTGGTGAAGGTTTTTGGATTCATATTTACAAGAGGTACTTCTACACAATTTCTGTCTCTTAATGGTTTTAGTCTTAACAGTGATCTTAATCCTAGAGAAGCATTCTCATATATTCTGTTTTGTCCAAGTGTTTATAAAAGATTGATATTAATTATATTTCTAAATGCTTGTGAATTAGTGAAGCTATCAGTGGGCATTTTGTTGGTGGTTGTTACTGCTGGAAGCTTCAGTACAACTAAATCAATCTTTTCTTAGCATAGGTTTCAGAATAACTTTCAGACAGATTTATGAAATAGTTGCCTCTCAGTACTTTGTTTTTAGGTAATTTGTTGACATATGGCTCATAATTTTCCCTTATTATTCCTTTCAGTTCTGTAAAGTCAGCAGTGTCCCTCTTCATTCTTGGTTCTTAGTGGTAAGAATATTTTGTTGTCATTGTTTTTGTTTTATTTTGTTTTGATAAAGGTTCTCACTGTGTAGCCCATTTGGCCTCAACCGCCCCTTAACTTCTGAGTTCTGGGATTACAGGCTCATACCTGCTGCTGAGTCTTTTTCATGGATCAGTTGATATAAATGTTGCCAGTTTCCTTGATCTTGTCAAAGAATCAACTTTTGGTTTTGATTTTTTTTTTTCCAAAGGAAAAAAAATCTTAGTTGTCCTTAAAGATAGTAGAAGTAAGCCAAACTTTTTTCTTAGGTTCTTTGAACATGTTGCCATATATGTTCTGACTTGGATCATTTCTAGTAAGAGTAATCTATGACTCATAATGCTTTGCCTTTCTATTAAACTTTCTTCTTTTTCCGTTCTCCTTGGTGTCTGTGTAAAGTATGTAGGGTTCCCCACTTCTTCTGTGGGTACTCACTGATTATCCTGGATTGTGATTTACTTTCTTTCAGGAAGTTTGGATAATTCTCAATTACTTCATTTGATTCTTTTGTGTAAACTTTCTGTCTATGGAAATTCTCCTTTTGTTCATGAATGTTCTACAGCTCCACACCATATTTTTTAGAACATTAATTATTTCTGTATTTGTATTTGTGTTTTGTCTGTATACCAGTGCATGCCTGGTGCACACAGAGGTCAGAAGAGTGGGTTGACTCCTCTGGAACAGGAGTTAACAGTGGTGACCCACTGCGAAGGTGTTAACAAATGCTGAGCTGTCTCTCTAGCCCCTAATTACATTTATTTTAACCTTCTCCGATCTAACATGTGGACCATTTCCGGTTCTGATTTTGTTGCTGGCTTTAGTTCTTGACAGGGAGTCTTTGATAGTGCTTCACATCTTGTCCTTTTACATACGTCACATCATTATTTTATGTTCTAAATATTCATTACATACTGTTTTATATTTAAAATAAAGCCTGAGGTTTGTAGTTACTGTGCCCAGAAATGGCCCACCTATTTTTCTTCCTGACCGTTGCTGTGGTAGGGCTTTGAAACCTGTGTGGTCAATAGTTGGTCCAGGTTTGAGTTAGGGGGTTGTTTTTGCTGGTTATTTTCACTAAGTGACTGTTCCGTTTTTCTGATGGTGCCTACTGACCTGTACTTAGTATATCATTTAGAGTATTTGAGCACTAGAGGGTTTTTTTTACTTGATCTGTTGTCAGCTCTCAGCAAGTCTGCACCTGCCCTGCAGCCAGCTCTCTCTGTGGTCTTGGTAGATTCCTATTGCCATGTCACATGCTTGGTGCAGACATGCTGGTGAGTTCCACTGCAGCTTTAGACTCAGGTGGTCCTGGTTCAGTGAGTGTCAGAGTTCATTTGTTCTTTATTTCTTTTTAAATGAAGAGTAGAGGCTTGTTAAACCTATGTTTCTGGAGGCTGTGAAGTCTAATATGAAGGTTCTGGCATCTGGTGAAAGGGCCTTCTAATTGTATCATAACACAGAGAGGCCATCGCAGGGTGAGACAGAGCTGGTGTCTTAAGAAGGGTGTTCTTCATGTTCCTACATCTCCTCCTCCTCCTGTTTTCCCTCCTCTTCCCTCCACAGCTGAGTCAAGAACTGGGAGCGGACAGTTAGTAGTAACAGAGTTGGGGCTGGAGAGCTGACTCAGTGGTTAACAGCACTTGCTGCTCTTGCAGAGGACCCAGGTGTAGGGGTCTCATACTCTCTTTTGGCCTCCATGGGCGTCAGGCACACATGGGGTTCATATAAATACATGCATATACATACACATAAAATAAAAGAGTGAATCTTAAAAAACAATAACAATAGTAGACTGCTTTTGCCCCAGGGTAGGAGCCCCCCCAACAATAGCAGCAGTTTTTCTACCCTTCTCTTAATAAAACTTGACCTTTGCTTGTGACTGGACAGAAAATAATGCTCATCCTGCACATGGCTGGTTTTTTTTTTTTACCATTCTCAACAGTACTGGCCTTTTAGTTTATAGGATCTTTCTGTTTGTTGTATTTTAATGCTGCCTTAGAAGGTAATTCCGGATGAACCTTAGATTTTAGGGAGAATGCTTTAACTCTTTGCTTTGTGTTATAATGTACCATTTTATTTGTTCTTTTTCAGCCTAGGCTTGATCTCCGACTCATTCCACATGTTTTTTGATAGTACTGCCATATTGGCTGGATTGGCAGCTTCTGTAATTTCAAAGTGGAGAGATAATGATGCTTTCTCTTATGGGTAAGACGTTAAGATATTTTTCATGAACTATAAGATATACAGAAAAATATACAGCTCTTAAGATGATGAGTTTTTAGAAGTTGAATTTACTTGTGTGATTTGAGCTCTTGAAATGCCCCTCAGGCCTTTCCTAACTATATACTTCCCTCAAGGTTATATTTTAATTTCCTGGATTAGATTTGCCCGTTTTAAAGGTATATGAAAAAAGAAAAAGGAAGGGAAAAATGATGCAATTATATTATAATCCAAAAATAAAAGAAATAACTTTTTAAAAAAGTATATATGATCAGAATCTGTAATGTAACTTTATTCGTATACAGAATCTTTTGTTCGGGACATAAGTCCTTTGGTTTATTAAAGGAGGTTAGGCACTATATTGTATAAAGATAATATACAATATATTGTATATTGTATAAAGATTCCTTATAGCCTATTTTTTTGACAAAGAAAATCATATGAAACTGAGCATATTTCTTTTCTTTTACTGAAGAGATATGTGCTGTCATTGAAAATTATTTCATAACATGCTTTTATTTGTCCTTTTGGCTTTGCTCTTATATGTGGTGATTTTCATCTCTCTGAATTGTACACTACATACTATGCAAGGACCTTTGATGAACCAGATTAGAGGCAGAATTGGCTTCCTGCCCCACTGACTGGAAAAGCAATGGGTTTTTCATTATTTGATTTTAAGCCTCCTGATTTTTTTCTGTTTTGAGGTCATAGAACATTTTCTTAGTATAATTCTGTTCATTTGTAAGCAGAGATGAGAACTAGCATCCCTTTTCAGCTGTTATTCCTTCCCTGCACATCCCCCTGCTTCATCTCTCCTTCAAGCTTCCTCACCTCCTCATCCACTCTCCATCTGCACTTCCTCTTTGCTCCAACTCATTGGTGCTTGCATCTCCCTCTGACTCTCCCCCTGTCCCTGCCTTCTGGAAGTCTCCTGCCTGTCTCTCTATCACTTTTGCTTACACCCTCATATCCTCATGCTCATCTCTCCTCACTCTTCCTCTTTCCCTACCCTTTTCCTTGCCCTCTCTCTTGGCCTGTTTCCTCCACATCTTTTCAGTCTGTGCTTATACTTGTGCCCTCATTTTGCCTTGGTGGAAGAATTCACATATGAGACATACTTAGGCAGTCTACTTTCACAAATTACACGTTTTAATTCCAAGACTCAGCCTGTCAGGTAAACATAAGCATCTAACATCATTTGTCTAGTTTTTTTTTTCCTTCCTCAACCAGGTACAGCAATATACTAATGCTAATCCAGCAGTTTATGAGATTGAATGAAACATATCTACCAAGCTAGAAATTGGGAACCAAAAGATGCCTAAAAATTTCTTGCCTTTGATCTTGAAATTCAGTGAACTAAGGATAAAAAGCTTTCTGTCATGTGTTAGTAGGGAACTAGAAGGAGAGATTAATGTTCTTTGGTGTGAACTTGTGCTGATTTATTAAATCCTTTCTGTGTAAATTATAGAAAACTAGCTGAGTATTATTTGAAGTTAGTGAACTTTCCTCCAAAAAAGTACATGCTTTGACAAATAATATGTGAATTTAATTTACTTGTATTTGTTTGAAAATGGAGTGTGAAATTCATGTCGTGTTAGATAAGCTTGATAGGATGAACTCAGATGTAACTGGATAGAGGACCTGTAAAGAGTTTGTTCAGCCTGGCATGGTTGCATATCACTGTGCTTCCAGAATGTGGAGATAATGTCAAGCCCACCTAAGGCTCTGTATATCCAGGGCATCCTGAGCGGGTTTTGGCACATGACAGTATTCTATCAGAAAAGAAAAATATTCTCTTAAAAAATGTTTTTACAACAAAACATTACGTTTTAGAAGTTGACATAGAAAGTTAAGGTAGTAGTGTGTTTTATCCCAGCACTTGGGAGGCAGAGTCAGGCAGATCTCTGAATCAGGCCAGCTTGTTATACAGAAAAGTCCCAGGACAGACAAGACTATACAGAGAAACCCTGTGTTATTTTTAAACAAAATCCCAAATGTTCAATTTTACCAATAAAGAGTCAGGAGCCAGATGCTGGAGTGAAAGCCTACTAGCTCAGAGAGGCAGACCAACTGACCTTCCTATTCAGCCAACATCCTACAAGGAAAATCACTTCTCCTTGCCATTAAAAGCCCTTCAAACTGAAAGTTCTTCCTTTCTGCTTCCGATGCATCTCCCTATCCGTCCTAAGGACTCTTCACTCTCTATGGTTTTTTTCCTATGTTTACTCCCTGTCAACTGATTGTTTGTTTGGCCTGTTGACCTGTGGTTGACTATATTTAATCCTGTTTACAGTAAGCAGAAAGCTCATGGATAAAGGTGTGTGCTAAGGTTGAGCCACACTACAACTGAAAATAGGTTTTCCCAGTAAAAGTGTGATTAAATATCATGCAACAGTCCTGTCTTGAAGCCCCCCCCCAAAAAAAAAAAAAGAAAGAAAGAAAGCCAGCCAAAGTGGGGTTTTTTGTTTTGTTTTGTTTTTGTTTGTTTTGTTTTAAAGACAGACTCCTTACATAGTCTAACTTGGCCAAGGTCTTAGAATCCTCCTGGTCCAGCATGTGTGCTGGGGTTGCAGGTGAATGCCACCACACAGTGTCTGGAGGAGCAGTTTTCCTGCTTTTTAGTGTGAAGGAAGAGCTAGCTGACCTGAACACCCTTTGACTAATGTTTAGATATGTAAAAGTAGAAAGGTAAAGTTGTTTACTTGGCTTTAAGCCAAACATGGCTTATAGAAAAGTGAGACCTTTCCCCAGTGCTTTACTTCAGTAGGAAGCAGTAAACTTCTAATCCCAGAGATAAAGAATAGGCATTTAAACATGGTTTCATAGAATGATGTGAAGATAGAGTTATTTGTAAAAGTAGATAAATGAAAGTTTAGACTGAATATTTAGTTTTAGAAAGAGGAAAAAACATTGTATATCTCAAGTTGTCTCTGCCAGACTACAGGGTACTTTACCCTTACTTGGGATCAAAGCTTCAATTTCCTGAAGATTTCACAACTACAAGGTACAAAGCAGAGCATGAGTTGTCAGAAAAGGAGATACCAGCACATTTAAAACCCAATTTCCTAGACACGTTCTCTTACTTGCTTTGTGCTCTTGCCTGGTCTTGTCCTTTCTGCAGTGAGGAGTCGTGATTTACCTTTCTGTGACAGGTATTTTTAAGCCCACTTATTATCAGGAGGCTTTTTGCCTTCTGGAAGTCTGTGTGTTTTGTGGCATTCACAGTTAATTTTCTCATTTGTTTTTCACTATTATATAAAATGTATTCTGTAAATGCAAAGACTTTGTTGGCACTTAAAATTATGTAATATAGTTTACAGTTTCAGAAATGTATATATACATTTGGATTCTAAGACATGAAATTCACTGTTTACCTTGCTCTTCCTTAGGTATGTTAGAGCGGAAGTTCTGGCTGGCTTTGTCAATGGGCTGTTTTTGATCTTCACTGCTTTCTTTATTTTCTCAGAAGGAGTTGAGGTATAGTAGATAATCATTAGAGTCAGGAAATGACTTTTTTTTTCAATGAAAATGTTTTAAAGATTGTAACAATAATAGGGAGTTTTTAAACTATCATCTATTGATGTTTGTTTTAGGTTAGACAAAATATTGTGTGTATACAGGAGGACTTATGAAATATTTGAAAAAATTACATATATATGAAGTATCCTGAGGTGAAAGACAGTGCAATGGTAGAGCTGTAAAACTGTGAATGAAGTGTTGTCACTGAGAAGTAGAGGTGCAATCTGAGTAATGACCTTTTAGGAATTGTTCTTAAAACTATATAGAACCCGAAAGTTTAACTAGTGAACTTTTAATGCTTGGTATTCATTTTCTAAGAATGGAACGAAAATGTGAAGCTTAGTAAACTTAGAGAGAACAAGAGGAACAGGTTTGGAAACAAATATCCTCATACATATTTACTTGTATTTGGAAACAGTGATTGATCCTTATCTGCAGTTCGTGAATACTAGTTTGAACTTTTGGCATGTAGTTTTGAACACTTTTACTTCTGAAAGTAAATGTACTAGCATGTTAGTACTGCATTATATTGCCACCAGTTGGTCAGTCTGGAGTTACATCAACGTTGTCTCTTTGTATTGTGTGTTTTCTAGAGAGCATTGGCTCCTCCAGATGTACACCATGAGAGACTGCTGCTTGTTTCAATTCTTGGATTTGTGGTAAACCTAGTAGGAATATTTGTTTTCAATCATGGAGGTCATGGACATTCTCATGGCTCTGGTATGATGGTTAGAACTATTTGTTTCTTCATTTTTTCACAGTTGTGTGTATGTCCGTGTGTGTACATGTTAGAGGACGACTTAAGATTTGGTTCTCTTTATCCACCAAGTTCTGGGACTTGGGATCAGGTCTTCAGACTTGAGGACAGATATCCTTGCCAGTTCCCATTTCTTCTTTTGCTTCTTCTATATGCCTGTTTGCCTGCCTGCCTGCCTGCCTGTCTGTCTATCCATCTATCCATCTATCTCTCTATCTCTGTTTTGCATGTTTCTGTCAATAAATATTCTAGAAAATGAATAATTTTAAAGTTACAAAAGTATGATGTCTAGATATTCAGAAATGTCTTCCAAGCCATCCCTTGTACTTTTCCATAACTCTCCATTCCAGTGCCTGTCAGAGTTTTTATGCGCATTATCATATTGGTACGCATCACTCCAGACTTCTATTGTTCTTCTGCTTTATGTAATATTTAATTCATATAAAAAAAACAGGAGAAAACCACATCTAGTTACTAATTTAAAATGTGTGTGTATTTGTAATTTACTATATGTGTTTTAATGATCTTTTCATTGATAAATTTTGACCTACTATCTTGCAGTTTTTATTAATTCATGAAATCATTTTATTGTCATGGACTCAGATTGCCAGTGGCTGCAAAACACTCCGTGGTATGAAGTCAGGCCTAGTGCATATGTACAATCCCAGCGCTTGGGTAATGAAAGCAGGAGGATTAATGCTAGCTTCAGGCTTACCTGTTCTCTGTAGTGAATTCCAGGTTATCTAGGGTACATAATGAGACACTGTCTCAATCACAAAGCAAAATAAAAGTCAAAACAAACAAAAAATAAGACAACCAACCAAACCAATGAACCACACCAACAAAAACCCCTCGAGAATCAGAGGTTGTTAAGAGAGCATATGAAGCTGCTGTGTTGCACATTTTAGATCTAGAGCATTTCCATCATTACAGTTAGTTCTTTTGCTGTTTCTGGTTTTCAAATTGCCTTCCAAAATGACTGTCACTCACGTTTACTTCTAAAAATAAATGTAAGTATTAACTTTGTCCCCAACCCACACGTACCTGTAACTTTATAGGTTAAAGTGGTTTTGCTCACATTGATACAGGTGGCTTCTAATTTTTTTCATGTCTCTAGTAAGTAGTGAGGTTGAATGTTCTGCTAGTGTGTTCCTAGACAATAGCTGTTTCTCTGTTGTTTTTTTCCCAGTTTGTTTATAAGTTACAATACTGCTTCTAGTAGTACTACTTTCCTTTGTCTTATGTGTTGTAAATATCATTTCCCAGTTGATACTTTTATTTAACTTTCTATACAGGGGCTGATTTGTGCTTTCTCTGTGATGGTTAGCATTAATTGTCACTGACATAGCCTGTAATCTCCTGGGAAGAGTTTCAGTGAAGGTCTGTGTACGCTAGGTGGGCATGCTTGAGGGGGACTGTCTCAGGGCAGGGAACTGATGTGGTAGTGCCATTCTCTAGGCTGGGTTCCTGAAACTGAGCTTAGCACCAAGCTAGCTCACCTGTGGATGTGATAGAAATAGTTGTTTGAAGTTCCCGTCTTGGCCGAAACCTAGCTGTGCAAGCTAAAATAAACCCTTTTTTCTCCATAATTGCTTTTACTTTTTACTTTTTTCAGAATATTTCATCATAGTGACAGAAATGAAAGTATAACAAAGTCTGATTTTTGTCTTACTTTTTTCCCCCCTTTGGTGTATGTATACTTTCTCCTCTGTTTCAGGGATTTCCTATTCCAGGGCCGTGAATATTCAGTCCTCTATATTAATGCTTTTGCTTTGGTCTGATGGTTTTTTGCTACCTAGTTTATTCTTCCATCTGCTTATATTTATTCTTCGTAATGAGCAAGTCTGAGATATTTCCCGCTTGGGAGGAATAAGCATTTTTCCAGTCATTTTCTTAAGAAAACTTTTAATAATTGTCCCAGGGATAACAGCTTCTAGTTCAGATGTTTAGTAAGTTAATTCACTGTGTACAACAGCTCTGCCCAGTGTGTGTGCTTTTGTTCTTTTCTCTTCCTTGAATGTCATTGAAATGCATGCTTGTAACCCATCGACATAGTTCTCTACTAATTGGCTTGTGCCACTACAAACAGCATTGTGGACACGAACTCAGTGTCTTTGTAGCTATTTTGCTGATTTTCATTTTTCTTTGTGTCGGTTTGAACTACTCTTTAATGTCCTTTGATTTATCCCAAAAGCCCTTTAATATTTTGAGAGGCCAGGCTTTGTTCATCTGTATTGCTTCAACTTCTCCTTTATTTTAAAGGGAGTTCTGTAGATTATAAAATTTGAGTTCTATACCCTACCACTAAAATTTCAGTTATCTATCCACTGCGTTTTGGCCTCTAGGATTTTTCTTTTGTTTGTTTCATTGTTCATTTATTTACTTATATACTTACTTACTTACTTACTTACTTACTTATTTATTTATTTATTTATTTATTTATTTATTTATTTATTTGATGTGTGTGTGTGTATGTGTGCTTGTGCGTGTGTATGTACATATGCATGCCATGGCACTTATGTTGACAAAGCTGTTATTTGGCATGTGGAGGAGCATCCAACATTCTATTTGCTTGTCGGCTTTGCTCCATGTCCTTTCTTCTTCTTGCACCTTTTGTCCAGGAAGCATCATCCTTGGAGCAGATTGTAGGCAAGCTATCAGTCTGCACATGTGTGATCATGCTCATGTGTGATGTTCAGCTAAGACCGTGAGTCAGCCTGAGATCACATCTAGACAGTAGGAGCACTTTCTGTAATTCCAGTGGTTGGGAGGCTGAGGCAGGAGGATTGTTAGTTCTAGCCTTGGATACAGAGTGAGATCCGTACTTCTCGGGCTATTGCTGCTGTCCAGAAGACACACCGGAGTCCCCCTCTCAGTGCAACACTGGTGTTAACTGAGACAGGAACAAAGAGAGGACCCACTGTTGTCTGGTCTTCCCAAGGGCTGCTCTGCAAATCTGAGATTTCTCTCGAGAAGTGAACCATTAGTATCTGAGGTGCTGGTGCATATCAGTGATGCGGCAAAAAGAGACCTTGCAGATTCTCTCCTTAGGTTTGGCTTTCATCAACTGTGCTGGTTCTGATAGGACTGAAGTTGTTCTGCTTGGACTGTGATGGATTTCTTGATTGTGTGGTCGTCAAACTGTGGTAATTTTCAGCCATTGGTTCCTGTTTTTCTTGTGTCTTAATCAGACTTGTATTTTTTTTTTCCAGTCCCTTTTCTTTCTGCTTTTGAGAGTATGATCTTTATTTACCTATCTGTACATTGGCCACAGTTGTAGCTTAGAACTCTTACTGGGTCCTTCCAATGGCTGCTTTATTTCGCTTTGATGCTTTAATTCCAGAATGTTTGGCATTTGAAATTGTTTTCTCTTCTCCTCTCTGCACTCCCCCCCCCCCATATGCATTTTTCTGGTTTTAGAACAGGGTGTTGCTTTATAGCTCATGCTGAGCCTTTAATTGCTGCTCTCCTTCCTCAGCCTCCTGTAGAGGTGTGAGCTACTACACCTGGTTTTATAATTTCTTTGCTATTATTGTTAGTGACTTACGGTAATGACTCTTTACACCCAGTTTCTTTTTTCTCGTCGAATATGTTTATAATAGCTGTTTAAAATCTGCCCACCAAGTCTGTCTCTGGGCCATTTCAGACTGTGTGTGTGGCTCTTTGTGTGTGGCTTACGTTCCTATACACTTGCATGGTGCATGCCTGGACTGATTGATAAATCATATGTTTCTTGTAGATGTGGCCATTAAGTTATCTGATCGTTTTTATTTTAAAATCCTTTTGGAGTGTGGAGTGGCTAGTACCCCGCTGCCTCCCACCCCGCTCTCTCCCTCGTTGCCACCTCCTCTGTGTCTGCACTGTGCAGCCTGTGGCTCCCAGAGGAGCAGCAGAGCGCGGGGCTAGTGCAGACTCAGGGTGCAAGGCGCAGCCTTGGTGCACAGTGCGGGAGCCGGTGTGGGGGAGGCTTGAGTGGGACAGGATGTCCAGTCGACCCTGCTTCGCTGCCTCCCGGAGATCCACAGCTCATCGTCCTCATAGTGGAGCAGCTCAAGAGCCGTGGCCTGTTTGACAGATTCCGCTGGACTGCCTGGCTGATATGGACACCAAGCCAGCTTACCAGAACTTTAGGCAGAAGGTGTATAACTTTGTGTCAACAGATCTGGACAAACAGAAATGGAATCCTGCATTGAACAAAATGCTTTCCAGATAAAAGGTGCAAAAAGAAGAAAGTTTCGAAATGGGCTGAGTCAGAGAGTGGTTCAGTCAGGCTTGTTGGAAGCAGGAGTGGACAGGATCATTTCTCAGGTAGTGGACCCCATACCAAACCGCATCTTGGGGCCACAAATAGAGCGAGCAATCCAGGGATTTCTGGATGCTCAGAAAAAAGAAGCTATGCCAGCTCCCCCTCCAGTACCTGAAAGCCAGGACCCTCCAGCGCCATCTCAAGACGCTTCCTAAGAATATGTCTGATACCTTTGGACAGCTCCATTTAATGAAGGAATGGATTCCTGTTTCATATGAATTTAACGTTTGGCCTTGACTGGGGTGGTGTCCATATGGATGGAGAGCAAGTTTGGCGATGGGGCAGTTGTCCACACTTGCCATGCATTGCACTGCCTTTTAACCAGCCTGTCAAGGGTATGATATACTCCAGTAGACACAGGTTTAAGCACTATACTGATGACCTGGGTTGTCCTGAACAAATCTTCATTCTTGAACACAGACACTGCATGTGGATGTTAGCGCCTGTGCTCTGCTGTATGCAGGAGGCAGGCTGGAGGCTAGCGAGTTTGGACAGCAAGGGTCATGGAAGCAGCTCTTGGATGGTGGGTTTGATACTTTGGTAGATTTAAGGGCTGCAATGTGCAGCAGTTAGCATCGTAGCCTTACGGTGATTGTGACCATCCTGTGCTTGGCGATTTACCTTTTTCAGAGGTAGCATTGGAGCCCTGGAGTGAGTGAGAAGGCCAGGACTTGGAGTACAAGAAAAGCCCCACAGCCTGTGTTCTGATGGCTCCCTAGCCACAGGGGCGAGTTACTCTGGGTGCTCAGTTCTTGTGTTTGTATTTTTAGAGAAACAAGTGCTAATAAATAACAGACATTTTATAAGTAAAAAAAAAAAATCTTCCTTTTGATTTTATCCTGTCCTACTAGTGGTCACACTTAAATAGGTATGATTTAGTAGTCACTCAGAGTTTAGTCAATTTCCCTAAATGACTTGATTGTAAATCTTCCTCTTTTGGCAAAGGGAGCTTTGTGAGAAAGTACATCTTTCCACTCTACTTCCTAGTTTACCAGACAGCCCTAACTTTGATTTCTTGCTTGCTCAGGGTATCAAGGTCAATGAACAATGATTGGCAATTTCTTGTCTTTCAGGTCTTTGCTAGGTGTGTACATAGCCTGTATACACTTTTAGGATCCTAGGAGTGTGTTGCTGCTTTTCAGAGTTCTTGTGGACTCTGTCTCTCTGAATTTCCCTAGTTCATAGCAGCCGCAGCTGACTTCCACTGGAGTTTCCCACTGTTGTCTTAGTGCCTGGGCCTTAGCTGAGCCCTGCATCTGGGAGACGCTAGGAGACTGGAAACTGCCAGTGAATTGCAGTGCTGGACAAATTACTGACTAACCAGAAGTTAGTGCTTTAACAGTACACCGAAAGCAATCTGATCTCCCTGTTATCTACAGCTTGGTGGCTTTGGGTTACTTCTCTCCTGGTCAGGGGAGGGAAGACTGTATGCCCTTAACATGGCCTCATAGCTGCTCTAGCTAATGGCTTTCCATGTATTCTGTCATTCTTACTTATTGCCAGAGCTATGACATGGTGGCTTTATTGCCTTTTTTTTTTTTTTTTTTTCTGTACCTTTGTGACTTTGAAGATGGGTGATTGGCTGAGATCCTCTTTCCAGCCTTCTGGAAGGCAATCTGAGGTGCAGGTCTCCTCTAAATGCTGCTGGATTTGCCTTTCCAGACCTTACGAGTTTATTCCTGTGCTCCATGGTAGAAACTCGGGATTGTTTGAGTGGACTGGCAGTGCTTATTAGAAGCAAGTGGTTGCTGCATTGAATCTGGAGTCAGGATTCTTCTAACTAGTGTTATTGTAATCAGCTATGTGCTTTTACAGATCTTCTGTTCAAATATTTTTTGTTTTCTAGGCCATGGACACAGTCATTCCCTCTTTAATGGTGCTCTAGATCACACCCATGGCCACGAAGATCATTGCCACAGTCATGAAGCCAAACATGGACACAGCCATGATCATGCTCATGGACACGGGCACTTGCATTGTCACGGTGAGTGCAGCCAGGGCACCTACAGAGAGCTAGCCTTCCAGACAGGACAGGTTAAGTAACTTTGCCTAGCTAGGGTCTCTCAAAGACACGCGTTCAGCCTCTAATACATTGGTCTAACTGGTTTCCAGGGTTAGTTGCTTTTTACTGTACTGTAACATGAGAGTAAGGGAGTAGATGTAATTTTTTCTGTTCTTTTGTTTTCTAGTGAGTATAACAATAAAATGCTACTATTTTGATTGTGAATACAGTTACAGATTGGGAAACAGTTAAAGCTTAGCAAATGAAAAATTATAATTGTTTTAAGTCTGACAAGGCTTTTTGCAGTTTGTGTTATGAAAATACTAGAGGTTTTTCAATTTTTACTATAACTGTTTATGCTGACTGCTTACTATTTAATTTCCTTCAGAAATCTTTCTATAATAGTAGGTACTAAATTTTGAAGTATTTATCAACATATCTTATTTCAGATTATTTATTCACGAGTTACGAGTGTAGATTAATAGAACTGCTTAGGTAACACAATATGAGCATACCTTAAATAAATTATGCACTTAGGTCTACTGGCCATATGGACAGAATACTGAACTTTACATCTGAAAACAGTGAGAAGAGCCTTAAAGATTGTAGTCTTCAAAGTCGCAAAATTCCTTATTGAAATATGATTGGTAAACAAAATGCTGTGTACATTCAATGCTTATCCCTTGATCCTAGGAATTAGTTTATCCCTGTGAAGCCATTGCCTCTGTTTAAGCTACAAGCATCACTACGAATTATTTCCTCCCACCTTTTGATTATGTATTCATCTATTTAGATTAGAGCACAGCACAAAATCTACCCCACCTGGCAATTCGAAGAGTACAGTACAGTGTTAGCTGTAATTGCTACAGTGTTGTACGGGCCATTTTTCAGTCTGACAGAATTCTTCCTTGGAGTTATTTGAGTTCATCCTATATTTTAGCTATTACCAGTCAGTCAGTTTGCACTACCTCTTTTAATCTATAATACGCTGTTTTGAAACAGTTATACTGGCAGGTCTAAACCTTGATTTTTCAATATTTTTGCTCATATACATTATTTCAAAATAATTTTGAAAAATTGCTTATTTCTCATAAATTTTTAACATAATTTCTGAAGTATTTTTGCAAATACAAGCAAAAAAAAATGTAATTTTGGGCACATAATACTTTAATTATTTAAATGATTAGTTGACTTACTTGATTTGGCCTTTTGAGACAGGGTATCAGTCTGTAACCCTGGCTGGCCTGGAACTCATTACACAACCACAGGCTGATATAGTTCTGTCTCTGCCTTCTTAGTGATGGGTTTCCAAGTGTACTCCTTATAAGTAATATTTTAGGGTAAAGCATCTACACGATTCTATAGAACATTGTCCTAATTTACTTTCTGTTGCTGTGATAAAAACACTGACTAAAACCAACTTGAGAAGGAAACCCAAGTCTAGAAAAGAAATTTCAAATCTCGTTGCCTGACATGTGAGACTCATGATCTTCTGGGCTCAGATAGCTCCACTTCTCCAACTCTTGTCTCATAGGCTCAGGCAGGTTCCTCTTCATACCTGTTATTGTCCTTGTCAGATGTCTCATGGTCCTAGGAGCTCCAGTTTGCTGGGTCTCTACTGGAACTGAGCTGGTACCTTCACTAATGGCCTGATGGTCTCTTCTCACCGTCTACCACCATGCCATATGATGTCAAGCCTCAGCTTCACCCCCATAACTTCTTCAATCCTTGGGTCCCTACTCAACTAAGACTAGCCTTCATCAATGATCACGCTTGTCTTTTCACAGTACCAAGCCAAAACTGCTTTTATTACCCATTCAGTGCTGTAGCTTTTATGTTACCAAAATCAGTGCCATGTGGGAAACTCTTGCACATTATCAAGTTTGGCGATAGAGTCTTGGCCTTCTCTGGACCGCAGCATCTGTATGCTGACCCTGAGCAAACACTTCTCATAAGATTTCATCTATGATTCCAGTCTCTTCTTAATCAAAGCTGATTCTTCAGACCTAGCTAACTAGCATCAGTTGTCCCCAAGAAGCAACAGTTGCAGTTCCACAGACTCTCAATCCAAAATGACGCATGAATGGTCCCAATAGAGTCTTTACTTCCCACTGCAGTTTCACAGGCCACACCGCCCTCCTCCACACTTTACTTGTCATTCTTACTTTTCAAGCTCCTGTAACTTGGAGCATTCCACGGCCTTTACAGCCCAGTTCCAAATCCTCTTTCCTCCCACAATCGTCTCCAAACATGACTAAGCCCCAATTTATATCCTAATTTGTTTTCTATTGCTGTGATAAAGACCATGACCAAAAGCAACTTGGGAAAGGGTTTATTTCACCTTACAGCAAGGGTAGTGGCGGCAGGAACCTGGAGGCAAGAACTGAGGCAAACACACTCACTGCCTTGGTGGTTTGACACTCACCAGCCAGAGCCATAAAAAAATTATAAAGCCCACATCACCTGATTTCTCTTTATTTTCTCTATTTCATTTGCTTTCCAGAAGTTCTTATTAATGGAGTGTGCTTGTATAGTCTTAAGTGATCCCCTGTCATGCATCTTAGCAGTAAGCTGTAGGTAAAGGGCTGGGGAGATGGTTCAATCCGTGAACCATATGTGACGTGCCTGCCTCACAGTCTGCTCCTCAGCACGCACATAAACAGCTGGGAGGCAGGAGGTGTAGGCGAGTAAATACAGGTGGATCCCTGAAGCTCACAGGCAGTCTAGCTCAGTGGTTCTCAACCTTTCTAATTCTGGGACTGTTTAATACAGTTCCTCATGCTGTGCTGACCCCCAACCATGAAATTATTTTGTTGCTACTTAATGCAGTAATTTTGCTGCTGTTATGATATGCAGTATATCTGATACACCACTCCAAAGGGGTTTGGGACCCACATGTTGAGAACCACTGGACTCTTGCTGCCTAGATGGGCTTCAGGATCTTAGAAACCTTTCTTCAGAAAGTACATGTGGAGTACAATGGAGGAACTCATGAATGTTGAGCTCAGGCCTCACACTCATATATACATACTCATGTTAATGTGTGTACACCTTGCATAGAAAAATAATATAAATTAATAAATAAACATGAACGTAAATTTAAAAATATTCTTCTCTGTGAACCTAATACTTCACACTCAGACATTTCTTTTACCCAGAATTATTGCAGTCATTAACAACAAAATCAAAGTAGTCTTGTCTCAAATTTTGTTAGTTATGAACTGTCAAAAGACAGTATTTTATTTGAAATATATTTTGAAATTAAAGAATGTATTTGATTTGTTGCTGTTTAACTTCTTAAGTTCTTCATATATTGTGGATATTAGCTGTCTGTCAGGTGAAAGGTGAAGATCCTTTCCCAATCTGTAGGCAGTCGTTTTGTTCTGATGACAGTGTCTTTTGCTTTACAGAAGCTTTTCAGTTTCATGAGGTCCCATTTATTGATTGTTGCTCTTAGAGCCTGTGCTGTTGGTGTTCTGTTCAGGAAGTTGTCTCCTGTGCCAGTGAGTTCAAAGCTTTTCCCCACTTTTTCTTCTAACAGGTTTAGTGTGTCCGTTTTTATATTGAGCTCTTTGATCCATTTGGATTTTAGTTTTGTGCAGGGTGAAAAGTATGGATCTATTTGTATTTTTCTACATGTAGACATCCAGTTAGACTAGCACCATTTGTTGAAGATGCTATCTTTTTTCCATTGTATGGTTTTGGCATCTTTGTCAAAGATCAGGTGTCCATAAATGTGTGGGTTTATTTCTGGGTCTTCTGTTCAGTTCCATTGATCCACCATTCTGTTTCTATGCCAGTACCATGCAGTTTTTATTACTGTTGCTCTATGGTACAGCTTGAGATCAGGGATGGAGATACCTCCAGGAGATCTTTTCTTGTAGAAGATTGTTCTAGCGATTCTGGTTTTCTTGTTATTCCATATGAATTTTTCTTTCGAGGTCTGTAAAGAATAGTGTTGGTAATTTGATAGGAATTGCATTGACTCTGTAGATTGCTTTTGGTATGATGGCCATTTTTACTGTGTTAATCCTGCCCAGCCATGAGCATGGGAGATCTTTCCATCTTCTGATATCTTCTATTTCTTTCTTCAGAGACTGGAAGTTTTTTTCATACAAATCTTTGACTTGCCTGGTTAGAGTTACACTAATGTACTTTATGTCTTTTGTGGTTACTGTGAAGGGTGTTGTTTCCCTAGTTTCTTTCTCAGCCCATTTGTCTTTTGTGTATAGGAAGGCTCCTGATTTTTGGATTTTGTATCCAGCCACTTGACTGACGGTGTTTATCAGCTGTAGGAGTTCCCTGGTAGAATTTTTGGGGTCATTCATGTATACTATCATATTATCTGTAAATAGTAATACTTTGACTTTTTCCTTTCTGAACTGAATCCCCTTAGGAGAAGGAGCTACATCTGGGATACAAAATGAATAAATTATAATTAATAAAAATAAAATTAAAAGAAAAAAAGAAAAAAAAAAAGAATGTATTTGAGTGAGGTAACCGAGAAGCAGAAAGACATACATTGTATATACTCACTTACAAGTAGATATTAGACGTATAATATAGGATAAACATACTAAAATCAGTACGCCTTAAGAAGCTAAGCAAGAAGGATGACCCTAGGTAAGATGTTCAATCCTCACTCAGAGGGGCAAACAAGATAGACTTTGGAAGCAGGAGAAAACAGGAAACAGGACAGGACCCTACCACAGAAGGCCTCTGAAAGACTCTACCTAGCAGATTATCAAAGGAGATGCTGAGACTCATAGCCATACTTTGGGCAGAGTGCAGGGACTCTTAATGAAAGAAAAGGGAGATAGAAATACCTGGAGGGGACAGGATCTCCACAAGGTGACCAACAGAACCAAAAAACCTGGGCCCAGGGGTATTTTCTCAGAGTGACACACTCAAACCAAGGACCATGCATGGAGATATCCTAGAATCCCTGCTCAGATGTAGCCCATAGCCGCTCAGTATCCAAGTGGGTTCCCCAATAAGGGGAGCAGGGGCTGTCTCTGACATGAACTCAGTGGTTGGGTCTTTGATCCTCCCCCCCACCCCAAATTGGGATGCAGCCTTTCCAGGCCACAGAGGAAGACAATGAAGCCAGTCCTGATGAGACCTGACAGGCCAGGATCAGAGGGAAGGGGAGGAGGACCTCCCCTATCAATGGACTGTTGAAGGGCATAGGGGGAGAAGAGGGAGGGAGGGTGAGACTGGGAAGAGAAGAGGGAAGGGACTTTTAAAGGGGGCCCAGGAGTGATGAGCTAATCTCTGTTCTTACTGGGGGGCTAAGAGGAAGCTTCATTGGCCCAGGCTAGGTGGCTAGTCATTTCAGTCACAATCCTTGGACATTTAGCTACAGGTGGTCACTTTTGTAGAGGCCTGAGTTGATTGGCTCAGTTTTGCCCTGGGACTTCCTGGGTGTGGAGACACTCATACTGCTGTGGCTGGTCAGAGCCTTGGTGAGTTGCTTGGGAGCTGGACGTAAATAATGGTTATATGTTTGGCTGTCAGTTGGCTTTCCGTGGCGGCTGCATCTTTCAGGAGGGTGCTGTAGGATATCACCTCTCTATCCTGTGCTGCCTCCTGCCTTTGTATCTCTGCTATAGTGTTGCCCCGCACGTTCCAGTGTGGTTCACTGCTGCAGTGCTCAGGCGTGCGGCCAAGCTCGAGCCGGGACCGCAGGCAGTCAGCACTCATTATATTCACAAAGCTTGCCTCGTCTCCTGATTATCCTTCTACACAAATGCTGTGCACCTTTTGCCACTTCTGTTTGTGTGTTGTTTCATTACAAAACTGATCCGTAGTTTCTAGACAGTTACATATGGAAATTACCGTACTTTTTATCTTCATCATAAAGAAAATTTTTATTTGTGTTCTTGAAAAGAACTTTACTAAGAGAATGCCCCCCAACACACACACATTTACCTATTGAATATATCTAATGTAAAATTTTGAAAAATTATTTTTATATTATGCTTGGCGGCGCATGTGATTATGTCATTTAAGTTGTCTGCTCTCCTCTTCAGCCTTTCCCACAAAGTAAGTCAGCAGTGAACCGTGTTCGTTCAGGCTGTACTCACTTGTCGCAGCCCAGCTAAAATCTTTTGCAGCTCAGCCCAGGCCGGTGGCACACAGCCTTTATGTCCTGTGGCCGCAGGGCACATCCGCGGCAGTAACTTCGCTCTTGTGCTTGCGGACAAGGGACAGTGCGTCTGCTGGTTCACGGGATGAGAGGCAGGATTTTAGTAAAGTGGCTGTCGTCTGTGTCAACAGTAGCACAGCCACATGGATTCTGGTCCAGTTACCTCGCTGTCAGTCCTGGTTTTCATTCATGGCCTTCACACTCTAAGTAGTAGTCATTCTCTGTGAACTTTTCAATTGTGAGAGTACTAGAAGATATTTTATGATTACAATATTGGTAGATTTTCATAATGTTTTGAATTTCTTGTGATTTTTATTTCTAGTACAGTAATTTCTAGAATATTCTATACGATTGTTACATTTTAAAATTGCCCTCACTAATTTACCTCTATTCAATTACTTGATTAAATTAAAAAAATAATTTTATAGGTCTAATATGACTGTACACTCACATCTCCATCATAGAGTTGACCAAAAGAACTCTGAATTGCAAACATTTGGATTAGGAATTAAAGAGATGTTTTTAAATAACTTACCTTATTCTCCACAGATGGCCCATCCTTCAAAGAAACAGCAGGACCCAGCAGACAGATTTTACAAGGTATGTTAGGCAATTGTGTTTCTTGATTTATGAAACTGGCTTCTTAGTTCCCAGATGTCTGGAGTTCTCCTTTAAGGAAAAATTAGTACACGGTAGTCATGGTAGTCATAGTTTAGATGTTATTCCTCCTAGTAAATTTACACACACACACACACACACACACACACACACACACACACACACACACTCTGAGTTGAATATATTGGCAATATTTTGTCATGTGGCTTTTTTCTCAGATTTAATTTTAAAAATGCAAGAAATTGAAAGACCCTGCTAAAGGTAAGTACTAGACCTGACTCTAGTGACTCAAAGGTAGTATGTTTGCTTTCCTAGGATTATTACAGCTTTCCCAAGAATAACATTCACTGTGGTCTTAACTTGTAGGAAAATTTAGAGGTAAAACTGAAATTCAGTGAGACCTTTATTGTACCTCTTCAATTAATGGTCCCTAACAGAAGCCTGAACAGTAGCTAGAGAAAACCAGTCTGTCTGTGAACTCTGGTGGTTTCCTTTAAAGGCTTGTGAACCAGTCTTTCTCAGTTTCCCCCAGACAGCATTGTCACTGTTTCCAAGTCCCAGCTCCCTGCTTCATGCTGTTTTTAACTTGATTGTGGTCTGGTTTTCTAATGGCTTTAGATCCGGCTTGTCCTGCACGCGTTTCTTCTCTGTTTCTTCTACTGTTTCGTGGTCTAATTCTTGCCTTTTGTGTTTCTCTATACTGAAGGGTTTATTATACCATAAGGCTTAGGCTGCCTTCTAGTCATCAATTTTCTGTTGGAATTGCTTTTTAAAACAGTCTTTATACATTTTTGATGAAATGTATCAAGTGCCATCATTAGCTTTGATAATACTTTATATGTAGTTATGAAAAATCATCATAAACGGGAGGAAAAAACTTGATGTAGACTTTTATTATCTTTTGTGCAAACTATTCTGAAAATGAGTTTGTGTTTCTGAAATACATGAGTTTCTGGATCTCATGAAGGCCAGGAGGAGGCTGAAGGACAGCTGTTACTGCCTGGTACAGACACTCACACGTGAGCACTTTGAGCGAATGCGGTTTTTGAGCTGTTTGCTTGGCCTCAGTTCAGTTTCTAGTGTACCAAGTTTTAGAGGTGTTTGATTATTGGTGTGTTACAAATTTTGTATGGTTTTTATTATTTATGAGTTAAACATACTTTATATGTTTCTTTAGTGAATTTTTTCATGAATAGTTATAAAATAGTAGTTAATGATGTATGCAAATAAAGCCCACTTTCTGGCTATGAAATTACATGTAGGCAGGGACTTTTCAATCTCAAGAAAATAAAGAACAAATTATTTTTCCCCCTTTTTTTCATTGTTTATTTCTGTTTCTACCAAAACACAGATTGGAGAATATAAAGGCTTAAAACTATGTTATCATTCTTGAGAGCTTGTAATGTAGGGACTTTCAACTGTTTTGATTTATATCCATCCTTTTCATTTTTATTTTTGAAAGTAACATGGTTTTGATATATACACACACACGTATATGTATATATATTATTCTTTGGTATTTAAGGCACCATAGAGAAGCTGGTTATTTATAAATATTTGCCAATGAAATAAGCATCTCATTTTTATTTGACAAACCAACAAACATTTCTTATAGACCAACTCTCGGGCCAGTGAGGTGACTGTGTAAGGGCACTTTCAGCCAAGCCTGACAACCTGCATTCAATCTTCAGGCCCCTTGGGATGGAAGGAGAGAACCGACTCCCACAAATTCTGCTGTGCCCTCCACATGTGTGCTGTGGTATGCACATACATTTACACACACAGAGAGAGATAAAAATTCTGCAGATTGGTCTGCACAGCTTAAAAAGGAATAGGGCCTTGAGGCCACAGTGCCATTTGCTGCGGTCTGCTGGGAGTTACACAGTGGCAGGTGAAATGTCTTTTCTTGGCAAACGTCAGGATTTAATGGACTCAGTAGTGTCCAGATTTTAAGCTGCTATGAAGTTTTCTTTATTTTAAACCTGCATGCACTTACCTTTCATTGTTCTGGGAATGTGGCATGAATTTCTTAGTTGGTCACATGTCTGCCATCTTAACCAGTTCCGTGTAGAGCAGGTGATGGTGCTGAAGAACCAATGGCTTCTTTCTGATTAAATCACACTTAAGTTTACAGACTGTTTTGCTGTGTGGTAAATTTTATTCATTAAAGAGCTACATGTTGAATGAGTTATTGTCTTGGGTATTTTAAAACAGAACTGCATATACAATTTCCTTGTTGAGATTTTTTATGGTCCTACAATAGTTCTTTCTAGTCATTTAAAAATGTTCAAATACTGCTTTTTTTGCATAGTGAATTTGAGGGATAGTAACATATTTAGGTAGTGAAGCTTTTGGATAGTTAATATCAGGTTAAGCAGAGTTAAGGTTCATATGAAATCCTAGTCCTAAAGCAATACTGTTAATCACCAGCAGAGGGCTCTGTGTATACATGTATTCAATATAAAATGCTTTCTTAACCAATGTTTTTCAACCCTTCCCTTCCCAGAACAAATTTTTCTTTTTAAAGTAAACGTGAATGCTCATGAACAGCGTTTGAAAATTAATCTCCTCTGATCCTTTATTTTTATTGTTGTAGTATGATCCAGTATAGTCTACCAGTTAGATGTTGAAACTGGTCAATATGAAAACAGTTATGTCAGTTCATAAATATTCTGTCATGTAGGTTCTAAGTAGTCAGTACTCCTCCTGCATTAATATTTCTTTCACATGTATGGAATTTTGACTATAGTCCTAAGAAATATTTCTACTTTACAATTCTAATTTCAACTTGTTTCTTTCTAGGTGTATTTTTACACATTCTAGCAGATACACTCGGGAGTATTGGTGTAATTGCCTCTGCCATCATGATGCAGAATTTTGGGTTGATGATAGCAGATCCTATCTGCTCAATTCTCATAGCCATTCTTATAGTTGTAAGGTAAGTGGCACGTTACTACTCTATGTTACTCAAATGAGAGGGAAGCAATACAAAACTACCTGCTTAGAAATCTCCAGAGCGTATTATCGTTATCTTCACATTTTCATAGATTGTTCCGTGTATATCCTGCCTGGAGTTTTAACACTCCTTTTGGTTTTTGATACTTAAGTCTTTGTTCATAATTCAAATCTTAAATCATTCAGTGTATCTTTTGAATAAAATATTGGTAATGTAAACTACATTAACTAGAGGATTCTGGTTTATATCTAGATCTGACAATGTCAAACTCTTAATACCAGTGTTGCCTCTGCTAGAACCATCTTGAATGATAGTTTCATTATTCTTTTCTTCACCGACCATGATGCTAGTGCTTTATGAAGGCATTGTATGTAGGGTGTCCATCCATAATAACTATTTTCTGCACTGCAACATATAGTAAACATTATTATCGTCCAAGGCCCTTTGTCCTAAAACACACCTCATTGTTGGCTTCATTTTGGATTAAAAAAAACAGAAATAAGTTTTTTTTTTTTTTTTTGTCTTGGAGCATTAATTATTTAAAAATTTTTATAATATGTCTCAGTTGGACTATTGTCATTTCTGCATATCTCTGCTTCCTGTAGAAGTTTTTGTAGAGAGAATGGATGCTGACAAGAAGTGAGACTGTAAGACTATTACTCAAAGTTGACTGGGATTGATGTAATAGATTGCAGTGGAATTGCAGTGCTAAAGTTAGAAGTGGTTGTTTTTCAGTTTCTGCCCTAAAAATAGGACATATATTTTAAACATGCAGATTACTCTTAACTATTTGCACAAGGAAGCAGGTGTTGTCTGGAAGACTTGCTAAAGTTCAGACTGCCTTTTCCTTATTCTTTGAAGGTCTTACCACACTCGCCTGAATTAACTTGGATGTAACAAACTCCTGTCCTGTTGTTAGTGCCTTGAGTGGCATTTAGTTTTGTTGTGTATTTTGTCTTAGTTACTCCTAGAGGTTCTTTAAAGTACGATCTTAGTATTCCCTTTGCTTTGTCTCCACTCTTTGTCACTGGAATTCTGGCCCCTGCTGCTGTGGTTTGCTTGGAAAACTGTGATGGCCTCTTTGTCCTCTCTGTCTTCTTCCAGACTTGTTATGCAGCAGTGACATTTCTTTGATGAGGATTATGTGACATGCTGCAATTATCTTATTCTTCTTTGATTCTTTGTCTCAAAATAAAATTCAAAATCCTTAATGAGACTCCCTGATATTGTTTATTCACTAACCTCCCCTTCCCTCTCTCCTGCTCCACCTCAATTCACTCTCTTCTCAAATTCACTCTCTTCTCCAGTGACAATCACTTATTTTTGGGTTCCTAAATATGCTATGAACTCTCTGCTTCCCATTTATATCTCCTCTCTCTAAACTCTTCTTGTGTTTAATGACACAGCCTTTCCCTCAGCTCTCAGATGTATGTGCCCTAACTCCACATCCTTCCTAGGAAGCTTTATCCAAATAGTACCCCTCCAGGGAACCTTTCCTGATTTGCCTCCCAAGCTGTGAAGTCCTTCTCTGTGTCTCCTTCTACCAAACTCCCCTTCCAAGGCATATGGCCCTCTGTGTCTGCCCCTGTGTCTCCGCAGCTCTGTGGGGCAAACTGGTGTCCTACTGTTTTAAAGTGACTGTGGCGTTCTCCTAGCAAAGAAGTTGGCACACTTATGATTGGTACCAGAAGAACTTGGACTTTTTTTCGTCCAAAAAAAATTGTATTTTCTCACTTTAGGTTGGAAATTCTTATTCATTTATTCTACAAACAAAAATAAATAATAAATAAATGCATACATGCCCATAAGAAACTTATCTTACCATGATGTCATATACAGTTTTAAAAATCTTTATAAACTGCCTTCAACAAGTAGCTCCTTTTATTAGCCCTGAGATCCCTGCTGTTTTGATTTGATCTTACCACAGGGAAGAAGCAATCAAATCAATAGATTAAGACACCCCGTTATGAAATGATTGTTTGTGTTGTCCAGAGCTAAGATAGGACCTCATGGTGGTCACTGAGATGGCAGCTGAGAGTGAATGATAAGGGAAGTCTGCAGATCTCTCTGTCATGGAGAGCTATCCTGCCTAGGGAACTGCTGATAAAAGGGCCGAATGATAAAAACAGCTACTCTACAGGAGGCCAGTGTGGCTGAAGCCCAGGATGTAAGAGGAGAGTGGTTTGGGACGAAGCTGAAGAAACACACCAGGGAAAATTACAGGGCTTGGAGGGCAGATTTAATTTCCAGTGCAGTGGGACATCCTAACAGAGTGACCCTTGGTCCATAGGTTTTGTTTTGTGGTGCTGGAGACCAAGCCAAAGCCTGGGTGGGTGTGCTCACACCCACCACTCATCTGCAGCCGCCTATCCTGATTCCTAGTTTTTAAATTTATTTTATGTGTTCGAGTGCTTTACCTGCATGTCTGTCTGCATACCATGTGTACCGTGTTTTACCTGCATATATGCCTGGTGCCTTGTGGAGGTCTGAAGAGCTTGTCGGATCCCCTGGAACTGGAATGTTCGATACTTGTGAGCCACCAGGTGGGTGGTGGGAACTGAGAAACAAGTGCTGTTAGCTACAGAGCTGTCTTTCCAGCCTTCTGATTTGAATTTTTTTAAAAAGTAGTTTTTAGCTGGGCATGGTTACCCCTTTACTCCCAGCACTTAGGAGGCAGAGGCAGGCAGATCTCTGTGAATTTCAGGTTAACGTAGTTCCAGGCCAGCCAGTGCTACATCCTGTTTCCAATAAACTAATTAATTGAGCAAAATGAAAGAAAGAAAGAAAGAAAGAAAGAAAGAAAGAAAGAAAGAAAGAAAGAAAAAGAAACTATTTTGATTGGAGCCAGGTTGCCAGGGATACAAGTGTAAACAAGTAGACCATCCAGAAGATGCCAGAATGGACAGAGGAAAGAGCACAGAAGCTAGGTCTAATCTCGCAATGCAGAGACCTGAATAAAGCCAGCAAGTGGTGTAGAGCTGTGAGATTTGCTCCTGGATGTGGGCTGTGTGGGCCGGGATTAGGTGGATGGGGGTTGTGGAGTGCCTAGAGCTCTTGCCTGGGCTGGACGAGTTGTGACTGAGAGGGGACTGAAGAAGAGAGGTGTCCCCTCCCTTTTGAAGGGCACTGCAGATCAGTGGCCATGTTCTGCCCACTGCTGGTTTGAGATGCTGTGTTAAGTACTCAGGTGCAGTCTCTCAGTAGGCACTGGGCATGTGGGTATGGGACTGCTGTCATCACTCAGCTAACAAAAAGCTGAGTTTCAGGTCACAGGAGAGGTCGGCTGGCAGCAGTGCTGCCACACCACTCTTCCTTCTCCCGTAGTCCCTGGCTCCTTCCTCCTGATCCTGGTGTAGCATCAGTTCCCTTTTCAGGATAGTGTTTTGAGCAGCCTCGGTGAGACAATTATACAAGTACGGCTTCTTTTTATTTTTGTTTGTGTCCTATTGTTCAATTTCCAAAGATTTTTAGTTTTCATATACTTAATATATGAAACAAAAAGGAAGGCATCCTGGTTATAATATAATTAATTACTGGAATGTATGATGTGGCTTTTGACTGTGTCGTGATCTTACCTCTTTAAGACAGTGGATAACTTTAGTATATCTAAAAGTCGTTTGGCAAATGTTAGTGGTACCTACTCAGCTGGGCAGTTGATTGCATAGCAGATACCTTACCCTCATGGAGGAGCCAATAAAGCAACCGTTATACAAGTGGATAAGAGGACATGCACAGCACAGTGCAGCCAGGCGAGACAGGTGTGAACACACCAGAGGCTTTGTGGAGAAAGTGTTTTCTACAGAAAGGAATAAGCAACCCCATCGAACGCTCTTGGAGTGATTGGTCGTTTACACCAGACACTGGGGAGAGCGGTCAGAGAGCATCAAGAGATAGCCTGGGGAGGGGATACCCAGAGCCAGCTCCCTCTCAAAGCCTCTCCCTGTAAGGGAAAGCGTGATTGCCTGGCAGCACCCAGGACCCACTTTGAGGTTTGTGGTCATGAATTTCGTATAAAAACAATCAGTATGGGTGTATATTTCCTGTAGTCTTATTTAGCTACTTGGTTATAGAATAATACAAACAATTGGGTTTGGTAGCTGTGCAGTTTTGCCAGATGAGTGCTGCTGTAACAGGGGACAAGGTAGGGATTATAAGAGAGGGAAATTAACTGAATAAATCCCTACTCATAAATTGTTAACCAGCGCAAATCATACTCCATGATTGTGTATGTGTGAGAGAGAGGGAAAAATGGGATTACCAGCAGCACCTAGGACCCACACTGATGCACTTAAATTCAGGTAGAGCGCTCATACACATAAAGTAAAAATAGATGTGGCATGTTTAAAATCGAGGTCTAAGGTCTAGTCAGCGAGAACATCATTATAGAGACCAAAGGATGGATTGTGTGGGGGTACTTAAGCCAAGAGTAATGAAAGAAAGGAGTAGAAGTGACGGGTAAAAGGCCAGTTGCTCAACTCTTCAGGGACTGAAGGGGAGTGACCAAGAATGCGTCTCTGGTATTCAAATAGTTAGATGATCAAATGATTTGATGGGGTTGACCTTTAAGCGAGATGTGATGTGTGTGGTGGGAGGGTGCACGGTGACTAGAGACCTAAAATAGAAGTAATAAGCAAGGAGGCCCCGGAAGCCTACCTAAGAGATTCGAAACTGTCTAAAGTACCAACTCGTATTACCTTTCCCTAAAGCCCGTGTATGATAGAACCACTGTCAGCAATCGTAGGATAGAGGAAGCACCAATCCACTCACAAAGCTTACTTCCTAGCATAGTATTGAGCCTGTAGGTGCTGGGCATGGTGACAGGAACCTGTGACCCTAGCATCTGGGAGGCCGAGGGAGCAGACCTCAAGTTTAAGGCCAGCTGGGTTAGTACAGCAAAACCTGTCTCAAGAAAAACAGGAAAAAAATGTTTTTCTTTCCTATCTTTTACATGTTCTCTGTGTTGTGTTGTGTTGCCTAGGTAA